GGTAGATAGATAGATAGATAGATGGTAGATAGATAGGTAGATAGATGGTAGATAGATAGATGATAGATAGATAGATGATAGATAGATAGATGGATAGATGGATAGATAGATAGAGATAGATAGATAGATGATAGATAGGTAGATAGATAGATAGCTAGATGGTAGATAGATAGATAGACAGACAGATGATAGATAGATAGATGATAGATAGAGAGATAGATAGACAGATATAGATAGACAGATAGATAGACAGACAGATAGATAGATAGACAGACAGATAGACAGACAGATAGATAGAGAGATAGACAGACAGACAGACAGACAGATATAGATAGACAGATAGACAGACAGACAGACAGAGATAGATAGACAGATAGATAGATAGATAGACAGACAGATAGATAGATAGATAGATAGATAATCAGATAGATATCTACCATCTATCTATCTATCTATCTATCAAAAGTCAGAATCCAGCTTTGTTACTGTAGTATGTATAACTCTCTACCTATACACACATACATCTGCAGGCCAAGACAGAAAATATGCAGTATTATACAGCTCATTCTTTATTGATAAGAACAGTCAAAGCTCAGATGAATCAGTGAATTTGACAAGAACTCTTTAGTCAACATTCCATACAAAACTATTTTCTAAATCCACAAACAAGAGTTTTAGTTGCATGGAGTTGAATCACAACAAGGTAAATATATTGCATTTCTGGAAGACATCTGATCTTAGATCAGGCACGGAGACAAAAGTAAGGCACGTTACAGCGTCACTGTCCCGTAACCGAACATCTAAACAGACAGAAGCTTCTGCTCAGAAACAGCTCCGTCACGCCATAATGTGTGGAAGCCACTGTATGATCGTATGATTCTGGAGTCATTTTATAAGAACAATCATCATGTTTTTACTCTACATTTGTGGACGGACACTTTTGTTCCAGACTTTGGGACGGTGTGAATTAGGTGAATTTGACTTGATTTGTTCACAGTGAGTCTCCTCAACATGTGTGTGTGTGTTCTTCTCAGTTTGTGTTTTCCAGGACGATGGCGATGCCCTGACCTCCACCGATGCAGGCAGAGCCGACTGCGTACTTTCCACCGCGTCTCCTGCGAACAGAGAACGGAATGACGTCATGCAATATAAATACAGCAGTGTATGATTGGGATTACGCATCCTAAAAATAAGACAACATAACACATAGGGCTGCCCCCTAATAGTTGACCATATGTTACATTTACATTACATTTTGTCATTTAGCCGATGCTTTTATCCAAAGCGACTTACAAATGATCAGTGTTGGGGGTAACGCATTACAAGTAATGCGAGTTACGTAATCAGATTACTTTTTTCAAGTAACTAGTAAAGTAATGCATTACTTTTTAATTTACAAGAGAATATCTGAGTTACTTTTTCAAATAAGTAACGCAAGTTACTTTTTTTTTTCCAATTTATTGACAACTATTTTCTAAATCCACAAACAAGAGTTTTAGTTGCATGGAGTTGAATCACAACAAGGTAAATATATTGCATTTCTGGAAAACATCTGATCTTAGATCAGGCACGGAGACAAAAGTAAGGCACGTTACAGCGTCACTGTCCCGTAACCGAACATCTAAACAGACAGAAGCTTCTGCTCAGAAACAGCTCCGTCACGCCATAATGTGTGGAAGCCACTGTATGATCGTATGATTCTGGAGTCATTTTATAAGAACAATCATCATGTTTTTACTCTACATTTGTGGACGGACACTTTTGTTCCAGACTTTGGGACGGTGTGAATTAGGTGAATTTGACTTGATTTGTTCACAGTGAGTCTCCTCAACATGTGTGTGTGTGTTCTTCTCAGTTTGTGTTTTCCAGGACGATGGCGATGCCCTGACCTCCACCGATGCAGGCAGAGCCGACTGCGTACTTTCCACCGCGTCTCCTGCGAACAGAGAACGGAATGACGTCATGCAATGTAAATACAGCAGTGTATGATTGGGATTACGCATCCTAAAAATAAGACAACATAACACATAGGGCTGCCCTCTAATAGTTGACCATACGTTACATTTACATTACATTTTGTCATTTAGCAGATGCTTTTATCCAAAGCGACTTACAAATGAGGATAACAGAAGCAATCAAACCATACAAAAGAGCAATAATATCTAAGTGCTGTGACAAGTCCAGGTTAGTCTAACGCAGTAAGATCAATGATAAGAAGCTAAATTTGATTGGTTGGTTGGTCGCAAAAAAAAACTCCACAGGAAGTGGATTTGTGATGGAAAGTTAACATGTCTACTTGTCCGTCGGCCTGATTATGTTCGCGCTGATATTTATCTTTTAAGTGTTTCAGTTTGCTGTATATTTATTTGTTTGTTTATAATTTGTATTTATTTCCTAAATGTAAAAAAAAAAAAAAAATTATTATTTTTTTATTTTTTATGAAAAGGATATTATTTATATCATAAGCTATATATTTTATTTGCATTCAGATCTCAGAAAAAAAACTACATATTTTAATGTTATATTCTATATAATATTAAATATAAGTTTTTAAAAATATATATAATATTTCCTGAGAAAAGGCTGTTTTTATTTATAGGCTATTTATTTTGTTTGTGTTTTGATGTCAGAAAAAATGCACGAGTTTTCATGTGATGTTGAGGTTACTTGTCCATGTTTTTGCACTAATATTTCTCAGTTTCATATTCATTCATTTATAACTTTTAACATTTTATTTCCTACATTTTAAAAAGAAACAAAATTACTTTTCAATTTACTTTTATACCAAAAAGTGTTTTATTTATATAAAAAAAAAAAGTTATTGTGTTAGTGTTACATTTTCTAGAAAAATGTATAATCAAAATAAAGTAAACGAAAAAAATTCCAAACAAACCTATTCTTACCTCAAAAACAGAATGTATCCCTTGTTTCTTTATTTATTTATTTTTCCCTTTTTCCTACGTTTCTTTAACACTATATGAAACATTTTCTAGAAAAATTAATACAAATGAAGTGCAAAATTACAAACACAAACATTTCTTTCTTCATAATAACATGCATTAATGAGTGATGCACCAGCAATGTGCTTTAGGAAAGTAATTTCATGCTGACTTTGAAGAGAGCCCATGTAAATCTGTGTCTTTACCTGAGCTCATGAACGAGGTGTGCAGTGATTCTCGTCCCAGAGGCCCCGAGAGGGTGTCCAATGGCGATGGCCCCTCCATTAACATTGGTCTTCGCAGGGTCCAAGCCCAAAGCTTTAGCCACGGCCAGATACTGAGAAGCAAACGCTTCATTGACCTGACGGATACATGAAACAGATACATGAAGCCCTGGATTGAACCTGCTTGACCATCTCTGGAAAAGTAATGTTAAAAGCAGCGTTTAACCCATGCATAATGAGTCTAACAGAATCCCAGAGTATGTTATTATAATCTACCTCCACCAGGTCCATGTCTTCGAGTGAAAGGCCAGCCTTCTTCAGAGCTTCTGTGATGGCAGGTACAGGACCTGTCGCATTTACAAAACATTATGAAGAATTTTATGTATTATTCTTATACACTTAGTGGGAAAATATGTTGGTGGAGAGAGCACTCACCAATGCCCATGATGCTGGGATCACAGCCTGAGGTGTGATAGGCCACGATTCTAGCCAATGGGGTGAGTTTGTGAGCCTTCAGCGCGTCCTCACTGGCTAAGACCACAGCAGCAGCCCCATCAGACACGCCCTGTGGGAGGAGCCAAAAGTATAATAAAAGACAAATACACACAGCACACCACAAAATGATTACAGTGGCACTGCTAAGTAATATAATACAATATAATATTATACATCAAAATAAATGTTTATATATATATATATATATATATATGTGTATGTATGTACAGGTGCATCTCAATAAATTAGAATGTCGTGGAAAAGTTCATTTATTTCAGTAATTCAACTCAAATTGTGAAACTCGTGTATTAAATAAATTCAATGCACACAGACTGAAGTAGTTTAAGTCTTTGGTTC